GAGCCTCCATCCACGGAATTGGGATTGATGACATGCATCAACCAAGTCAGCGAGCCTGACCACCCAAACCCGTTAGTCGCCTCATGATCAGTCTTACGACAAGCATAGTCGCCTTTTACGGCAATCATGGGTTGCTGAAGACCTATTCTACACATGCACTTATAGAATTTATTGTAATTGAGTTCTTTATTAATTGTAATTGTTAAAAGAGTAACATTCTTGATACAGTACTGTGATTGTAAAGTAATCACAGCTGTGAAATACTTTATCTGCTGCACATACAACATGCAAGATGACAGCCACAGAATGCTCCTTGTCTACGAGAATTTCTCATTTTCAGGTCAAAGCATACACATCAAGGTGAGGCGAAATCATGTTTAACGTCGCTTTCAATAATATTGCACTTATATAGCGACGTGCACGCACGTGTGTGTGTGTGTGTGGCTGCTTGTACTTAGCCCGGGCTGATGCCGATTTATAGTGCTAGCTCACTGAGATACCATGCCGCAGTTTAACATGAATACCCCACTCAGACACAGTATACCAACTCCAAGCCGACCAGTTCTTGTTTTATCCCCTTAATGCCGAGCGCCAGACAGGGTAACAACAAGTACCATCTTTTAACGTATTTTGGTATGACATGGCCGGGGATTGAACCCAATACCTTCCGCTCTCCGGACAGACGCTCTACCACTAAACTACGGAGTCGGTCCATAAACATCAAAGTATCTAAAGTTCTATTGCTGCTACTACTGCTTGTGTTATGCTTAACTGCTACTTGTGTTATGCTTAACTGCTACTTGTGTTATGCTATCACTGCTTGTGTAATGTTACTACTACTTGTGCTATGCTATTACTGCTTGTGTTAAGCTACTACTACTATCTATGTGTTATACTACTACTTGTGTTATACGGTACTACTGCTGCTTGTGTTAACACTACCAGTTGCAAGATTATATATATATGTCATATATATATATACTTTTAGCAAGAAAATTATCTTTATTTAAACTGAAACAACATCAAAGTATGCATTTGTTTGTCAAAGATAACACAGACACAACTATCTCAGCAAAATCGTCAGATCAACATCAAAGAATGTATGATCTCATATTAGCCAGCAGAGCTGTCATTCTGCCATGTTGCCATGGTAACATAATACCTATCAATATCAAACTGTTCATTTGGCAGATGCGTTACTAAGTATGTCAAGAACCTACTGAGCTGTCTTGAGATAAAAACACACCACTTAACCAAGGCATAGACCTACATCTCATGTCATTAAATCTTGATAATTTCAAAAAATGTCAATAATTCACAACAGCTAAATACTACTGAGATACGTTTTTTTGTGATTCTTTCCTCTTAACATGATTGTCAGCGTCTTAACATGATTGTCAGCGTCTTAATATGATTGTCAGCCTCTTACATGATTGTCAGCGTCTTACATGATTGTCAGCCTCTTACATGATTGTCAGCCTCTTAACATGATTGTCAGCCTCTTACATGATTGTCAGCCTCTTAACATGATTGTCAGCCTCTTAACATGATTGTCAGCGTCTTAACATGATTGTCAGCCTCTTACATGATTGTCAGCATCTTAACATGATTGTCAGCATCTTAACATGATTGTCAGCGTCTTAACATGATTGTCAGCCTCTTACATGATTGTCAGCGTCTTAACATGATTGTCAGCATCTTAACATGATTGTCAGCCTCTTAACATGATTGTCAGCCTCTTACATGATTGTCAGCCTCTTAACATGATTGTCAGCGTCTTAACATGATTGTCAGCCTCTTACATGATTGTCAGCATCTTAACATGATTGTCAGCCTACATGCAGATCTTAAACATATTTTTACTGCTGTAAGATAATAATTCAATCTTGAGATTCCAGGTTATTCATTGGCTTACAAGCAGTAGACTCGATGACTCATCATGTGCCTACTCAGACAACTTTAATCTGACAAAAAGATATTTTGATCCAACCTACTACATAGATCTCTCATTGAAGAAGCATGTGGAATGGACGTCTACATACATACAATATCTTCCACTTTACCTTGACTTACAAAAGTGGGGGTCCAGGGGACCTCAATGGTTAGATACCTGCCGAGTCAAATGATTGTCAGTGTGTTGTGAACTTGTGAGCAATTAACTGTGTCAAACTTTCATTTGAAGAGACTTACAATATACCCACACACCAGCATGAAAGAGTTATCGAATCAGAAAGCTATTTTGAACATGAAAACTGAAAACATTCAACAGAACATGTACTGAATTTTACTGATATGTACAAGGGAAACACAAAGTCACTGAACCATGATCAACTTAAGGCAACATATCTTATCAGGTGTTGACACTTAAAGTGTGTCAGTCAAGTAAATGTAAACACACTGATGTGTATGTCAATATTAACGTTGAAAACGAAGATATATTTTACCTTTTATTATTTACAGAAGAACACGGATAGAGCGAACAAACGGATACAACAAACTGTTAAAAAATCCCTGATTTATCTTCTATATATTATCATATAAAATTTACATACATAACAAACTCTCTACAGCGAACTAGCGGATATAGCGAACTGATATCTGATCCCCCGACAAGCCCAAATACCACTAATTAATGATGTGTATAGCAAACTGAGAAATCCCACTCAGTGTCAAGTGTCACTGACAATTGGCTGTCCATGTAATTGGACTAATCTTATCTGTAAAACAAACAAATCTCATTCAATAATGTTTACATTAATTTTGGTAAAATCGTGTGTGAAGTGATTGGTAGATGGCACAACTCACCGTTATTTACAGCAACCATGGTCAGATTACCGCTATTGACGCCTTGAAACGAAATTTAGTTGCAAGAGAATGGATACACATATCATAAATGCCATACTTAAAAGACTCGTTAAAAGTCAGGGGAAGTCCCTACGATGACTGGTCAAATTGTTCCATACGTAAAAATATCTGGCAATAGCAATCTGGAACCTGTCAAATATATGAAGATAAACATAAATATCATTTGGGCTGTGACGATACACCATCTATGCTGTTATCAATAATTGTACTGAAAAGTAAAAAAATCACGATCCACTCATGCATTGGTGTATCCTCCCACCACTAATTATTATAAATAAATAAAGACAAAATAATTTTATTATTTTCTGTTGGTACTTTTGGCTCATGTCATTCCATCGGAAACACACAAAAGTGTCCCCTTTATCTACCAACCCTCCATCATAAGTCCTGCTACAACAGCCTTCCTCATGGCCAGTGATGACAGCCCTCTTCACGTTGCTTATTCACAAGAATGTAGTGGAATTCTTGAGGCTGACTCAACAGCCACACTCCTTGTTGGGGGATATGATGTTACTATGACCCATGGGGCACACAGGGGGCATTGGTGACACACCAACATCCACCAGATAAGTATCAAGTCATGGTGACTTACGCCAGGACACAACTTATGGAGGAAGCACTTAACATACAACATGACAGAGGAATGCAAATAATTTGTGCAAAAAAAAATGTTTTTCTTCTTTTTTTAAAATGTAAAACATCATCAAATGAGTTATGTTTTTTATACAAAGCTCTGCTCTCCAGCTCTGCCTCACTGGACTTGTGTGACCGAACCGGCCCATGGTGGGTGTGTGGGTGTGAGGGTGTGAGGGTGTGTGGGTGTGAGGGGGGTTGGGGGAGAAGAAGAAGAAGAAGCTGTGTCCCCAAGTATTACAATGATTACCGGTAGTCTTACAAGTTGTATTTTGAAATGCATATCAAATTTTTGTTTTTTGTCTTTTTTTGTTTATCGCCACAACATGCACAAACAGCAATTGATATATGACGATGTTCTGTAAATAATCGAGTCTGGACCAGACCATCCAGTGATTGATATCATGAGCATTGATCCACACAATTGGGATACAATAACTTGCATCATCAAAGTCAGTGAGCCTGACTACCCAATCCTGTTAGTCGCCTCTTACGACAAGCATAGTTGCCTTTTACAGCAAGCATGTTCTAATGCGGGGCATATCAAATACTAACAAAAATATGCAACCCCACCATTCACCCCTCATACACTCATGACTAAGGAAGTTGAGGCAACTATATTTCAAAATACCTCCATTTTCCTTCCTCAATCTTAAAATGTAAAGGAAAATTGCAAAAGGCTGTTGTCCCATCTGTCAAACTGTTTACATTCCTTTTGTCTGCTCTGTCTACAGGCTAGTTTGGAATCTTAAATTGTTCTTTGTCATTCATTAAACATATATAACTACATTTTATGATCATGATTATATGAACAGATGTTTAACACACAATACCACGTATACAGTTTGTAAGATCTATTTTGAAAACATTTCTCAAGTAAGGTTTGAAAGCCTTCTGGAATTGATGTCTGAAAATACTGAAACTTGATACCGTTACTTTTTTTATACCATGTTTATAGGAAAAGTGCGCTGTTCATAGCACATGATATCGACATTCTGGTACATCACAGCAGTATTCTGGCAGTTGTAATTAAGATATCTCAACATGGAATAATGTTGATGATGAACCTAACTTCAAAATAAACATTTAGCAGACATTTAAACTCTTCAGTCTCAGACATCGGCTAGACAGGTCGAGATGATCTAGGCCCTAAACCAAGACACAGGCGAAAAGTCCACCAAATTGAATGCACCCAGTTAAAACCGATGCCTTCGAAGAACAAGGGATATATATCTCTTCTGGATTAATTAAAACAAGTCTTAAACTGTGATATCATAAGTAAGAGCCGTTTGAACGACAATTCTTCTTTGTAAAATATGGGGCACGCTTGACTGAGCAAGACAATTTGAGAAAACTATCAAAGAACCATAGCACGAATTTGTTTCGGAATGGGCGTGGTCGCTACGACTGATTCAGACTAATACTCACGTGTTTCATGCGCTAGGGGGTATCGCACGGGTTTGATAAAATAATGACAAGTATCATCTAGAAACTAGCCTTACCTGCGTGCTGGCGACAGAACGTGGAGTGAAGTAGGCGTCGGCTCGCTTTAACCTCGCTTCATGCGTTAGCTTCCGGATTCTCCACTTGACCCCGGTGCTGCCATATAAGGTAGCGATGAGAGGTCGGGGTCAGAGGTTACGGTGGCGATACGACTGACTGGGTAAATAGTATCATCGTGAAATATTTCGTGGGCGTTTTTACTGTACACAGTCAAATGGTACATAGTTTATATGCACAAACTTCAGAATGGGATCTATTAGCGTGTAGAAAACGTTCACAGGTGTATCTATCTAGCTTAATCTAGCAAAGACATAAGCGTGTGAGTTTAGGGCCGGGTGATATATATATATATATATATATATATATATATATATATATATATATATATTGCTTTGCGTATATGCTTTAAAAATAAAAGACAAATGGGAGTTGTTATATTACGCCACGAGGCGTTTATTTCTTATATGAGATATCAACAGTACGTACGGCCTTTTTAAGGATGATAAAATGTACAAGCTTTAAAAATATTTAGCCGTATCTTAATAATGATGACTCCTTCAATAGAATCCCACCTGTCCATTTTATGCACAGGTGGGTATTTCCCGCATATCCTCACCATCCTCAAGTCGATTACCTGTACCTCTTCTCCCAGTACCGATTGTCATGTGTATTCATTTTTCTTTTGCGTATATGTATGTAAATAAACAATCGTTCAACAACCCCTCCGTATTGATAAACAATATTGTAAGAAATATATGGTAAATACGCTGAACATTTATTGTAAGTAACAATATTTGAAAATAAATAAATTATCGTTCAATATGTGTTGCCAATGAACACAATGCAAACAATTTTTAGACGATGGATTTCTTCATATTTATTCCAGCTGCATAGCGAGTCCGGGCCAAACAAACCAGTGACTTATAGCATGAGCAAATCGTCCTGCACGCCGTCGGGGTTGGATAACATGCAGATCAACCAATGACCTATCCATGTAATCGCCTCTAACGACTAGCATAGAATGCTAGGATCATAATCTAACCCGCAGTTTGTTATCATGGTATAATACCATCCCATAAACCTAGAAATATATTATTTGTTTGTGTGTGTTAATGACTCAAGGGATCGCGCACCCTCTGTATTATCTATAATACGTTATAAAGCCAGTCTTTCATCATATTCTAACAATTTTCAGGCACATTATGACAACTTATCATATACCTATCAATGATGTTTGGCATGTGCGATAGAGTTAACATGGAGATGGTCATATCACAGGGGGTGTAACCAGACCCGTACGACACCCTGCCAGGCTGAAAAGGCTTATCACTGCATTTTGAATGGGCGACCGCTTCAGCCGGGATGGTAAGAAGTTAGAGTTACGTTCCTTAGTGCATCGTCTGCTCGTCTGCTCATCTCTCCGCTTGCCTTCCAGTGACAATGACTTCCAAACAAGGTAAAAATGTTTTGCATTCACTTGCAAACAGATACATTTTACAATTTTATTTTATGGTATATGATAAAAAAGATTATTATATGGCAGTTTTCATATCATACCCCATATCAACCCTCGACCCTTATATCACCTTATGTCAACGGCTGTCATGTGTTCGAGTCTTGGGTATATCACCTTATGTCAACTGATATCATGTGTTCGAGACTTGGGTATATCACCTTATGTCAACTGATATCATGTGTTCGAGACTTGGGTATATCACCTTATGTCAACGGCTGTCATGTGTTCGAGACTTGGGTATATATAGAATACTAAACTCGCTCCCGTGTAATACCAATTTTATGAAACGAGTGAATAGTTGTGGTATCTGACTCGCTTTCGCTCGTCAGATACCACAACTATTCACGAGTTTCATAAAATTGGTTTTACACGGGAGCGAGTTTAGTATTTTATTTATTACTTGCCATTGATAACGTTTTTAGAATTATACTGTTGAGTATGAATAGGCTGACACCTACACGATCCACGGCATAGTCCAATTGAGTTTAACAGAATAATACTTCAAACACGTCAAACGTTGAAACGTATGAATTTAATACCATACAACGGTCCACCTTTAGAATTCAGGCGTCCGTTCCACAAAATTATCGTAGGGCTAATCGCAACTCACATACTTTAACTTAGACTAACGACTGTCGTTGCGCTACAATACGATCGCCTTGTGAAACGGGCCTTGCACCTCAAAGTTTACAATCACGTCACAATACCCGATGACGTAAATTGTGGAATTTTGTTGCAAGGTCCATCGGCGAAACAATGCCATGTGACGTCAGCCTAGCAACAAGGTTGCTGGGGTCATCGAGTGTGCATAAGCTCCTCTCAGTGATCTATCAACTCCATACGCAATGTCGTTGAATAAGCCAAGGGATGTTGAGAGCTTTCAATATTTGTTCGTGAAACGTGTTCCGAGAGTACATAAGCATGCGTTTTGGTATTACACAATGTGTAAAACAGCTGTATGTTTATTAAACGGGTGATCTCTTCACGGGCAAGTAATAAATCACCTTATGTCAACTGATATCATGTGTTCGAGTCTTGGGTATATCACCTTATGTCAACTGCTATCATATGTTTGACACTTGTGTATATCACATTACGTCAACTGCTGTCATGTGTTCGAGACTTGGGTATATCACCTCATGGGCGTGTCTCAAAATATGGACAGGTTTGACTAGTAAAGTTGGATGGGTTTTCTTGGTAAAATTCATTTGTTGTTTTTTCTTTTCATTTTTAAACATTATCTATGTCCACTTGAAACAGTGAGGTATATCAAAGATAAACAGTAAATGTTGGTGAGATATATATAAGAGTGAATGTCTATACAAATGCTTTGCCCATAGTGAAGAAATTATTACAAAATCAATGATATAAAGAAGTATTTTTCTTGTCTAGGTTGACATTGCCAAACAGGACGGTTCGAAGGTCATATCCATTAATTATGTGTTATTTGGCAAACAACAACATCATATTCTGACCCATTGACCGGGGTAATGATACAACGGGGCAATACACTTGGTGAATGAAATCTGGCTCATTGTAAACGACTTCATGCGTTGTTGTCATGGCGATACTGCGAGCCTATCGACACAGTTCTCGCTTTGCAGCACGCTACTTCTCCTTAACAGCTGTTAATGATTATGAATAATAAGTTAAAGTTCTTACATACATTCTATGTGTACTGCGCCTGTGCGTGGGCCCGTGGCAGGTAGATCTCGTGTCGGATCCGTAGTTTCAAACTTGTATGGGTCCTTAGGGTATGTAGTAAATTTACATGTCCATATATTTAGAATAAGCTGCAGTTTCTTAAATTAGGGCCCGAACAGTTTAGTCAGGGCCCTCAGCTTCTTAAGCATGTGGGTCCTGATAGCAGCCTGGCATTATTAGTACCGTGACCCATACATACTGAATTCATGAATGTCAACCATTATCGCCCGTGAAGTACAAACATTCTGGCACTCGTTTCGAAAAATCAGAAAGACACACGCTCATGGTATTATTTCTATATCATGTGTGTGTACGTACAAGGCAACACACGAATTAATATACCTTGGAAAGTGAATCGCTCGTAAAATCCACCTAACGTCGCTTTATCTGTGTGAAGCATTTTGGACATATCACGGTATTTAAAATAGGCTTATTTATTTATGGATCGAGTTACAGTTTGTTTTCATCAAAAATCGTCTAAAAACACAAGACAAATACCTTGTTTCTTTGTTTCAGTGACGGACCCAAAAGGGAGGGGAGAAGATCCACCCTCCTTTTTAAATGTAAACTTTTTGATTTGGTTGTTAAAGTTAAATTACTAAAGGTTTACATATGGTGTTTGTAATGTTTTTGGGAAACCCTGGGCCAGCAATCCCGTGGATGACATCATGAATCTTGATCGACACATTTGGAACACGATGACACGCATCAACAAAGTCACAGATCCTGACCACCCGATCCCGTTTGTCGCCTGTTACAAGCACTGGCCGACCGGCGTCCCGTGAAGATCCGGGTTAGAATAGGTCCTCAGCAACCCATGCTTGCCGTAAAAAGCGACTAACGGGATCGGGTGGTCAGATTCGTTGACTTGGTTAGTCATTGCATTCCAATTTGTGTAGATCGATGCTCATGATGTCAATAACTCGATTGTTTGGTCCAGGCTCGACTGATTACAGATTGCCGTCATATAGCTGGAATATTGCTGAGTGCGGCGTTAAACAACAAACAAACAATCACGCACTGGCTGCTGGGAATCTATATATTCATGCTCAGAAACCCACGGGTGCGTAGTTCGTATGTATACACTATGGTACTAAAACTATTACGTTCTGGGGGATATCGAATATTCGAGATATGTATAGTTCGAATTGATAGTTATCTCGAATAGTTATCTCGTCTTAAACGATGCATCGAGATTATGAAGTTCGAGTTAACCTGATTATACATATGATTCCGATGTTTCATACAGTGATATTTCTCATGATAATATATAATTTCCTGACAATCAAGATAGCCGAAAACAGAAGATCAATATTAATACAACTAATTCTTTTCTACTCAATATTATGGCATAAACGATGTCCTGAAAACATATGCATAGATCACCTTTGCACTTTGCCAACTTAACGTTAAGGTGTTATTATGTGTAGGATAAAACACAAAAGAGGGTTTTTATGAGATTTAAAACCGAAATCCAAGGGATAAAACCTCATAAAAACCCGATGGTAAGTGTTTTATCGCACCAAAAAAAGAAACTTAAAACAACGTTTATCAACATAATTATTTTTATGTTTCAAACATACTTTCCATGAACCTTAGGAAACAGGCGGATAATATCTGTTGCTGGCGTACGGTACTTGAAAAAGACATTCTTAAAAGCATTGTGAGCGCGTCTGTTGCCTTGTGGTACACTCACTGGGCTACAGATACGAAGGGTGCTTTTTCGTTCCGCGTGAATATAAAGAAAACATTTGTCACTGATTTTACATTACGTTACATTGTGTTCAAATGCAAAATATATTTCTAGAGAGATACGGTAATATGTTAGAATATAAACGGAAGTTGTATTAACATCATCCCGGGGACATTAATACATCCCTGTTTGTGATATTTAACCAGATTGGAGAACAATAGGATGTCGGTAAGCATGGGTTGATGAAGACGTAGTCTAACCCGGGCTGTACTTCAATGCATGCATATCTTTGTGCCTGTCGGTAGGTTTGTTTAATTAATGTATTATATAGATTTGAAGCTTTTCTTATATCGGAACTTGAGAAACCCTGTCATAAAATAATGAAATTGTCTAAATGTTTTTGTTTGTTTTGTTCTTAAATACCCCCACACGTATATAAATACCAACTACTTGAAATCGTTATACTGAAAACGTCGTTTACATTGTACATACTTTACTTGAAAGGAAGAAAATCTATCAAAATCTTTGTTGCAAAATAAACATTTAAGTGAGCTATCATACAACTATCATACCCTGGCAGACATACAGGCAGATACAACATTAACATCTCACAATATGTACAATACATTAAGGAACAAATATAAGATATACATAAACGTATCAAAAACTTTACACAAACGCCATTCCAAAATAGAATTACGAATCCACAGGGAATTTCGTATACACAATACAGCACAACATGTTAAGGATAGTGAGTGAACAAGGACATAGGTAAGAAAACTAAATGAAACTACAATAGGATATTAGGGCCTAAAATAGGTTATTGGTAGAGAATCCATATGCGTCCTTTTAAGATTTTAAAACAGGTCTTGTCAGGTCACAGTAGGCAACATTGGCGACAAAAGTTAATCTTGAACAGCACTTAACATATCTTAATCTGACGGCGGATTTAAATCGGTACAGTTAGACTAAGCTTCTTGTAAAATTACCTATCGCATATCGACACATAATTCTACGTGGCTATATTAAAACGTTTGACAGGCCCATAACAGCTGTAATTGTTAACACAAATTACTTTCTACTCAAAACGGAGCAAAACAAACAAGATTATAGAAAACCTTATTAGTCTCGGGTAATCCTTACTACTCTCACCTCTCTAGACTAACACATACTCTATGAAATCTTTTATTACACAATACATTTCTCTCATCTAAAATATATTTTTTTCCTGCCTCTGTTTTCATATGTGGAATAGAGTTGGCTATAGACTTGCTTGTTTACGATCTAGATTTTGATTTCATAAAAAAAACATACATCCCACAGTCATGGCTATGTCCTATCTGGAACCTGCAAGACGCCGTCCGGCTTGTCACGAGTTGCACGACTGTTTCTGTGGGTTGAACCCGAACAAGCAAAGCAAGTGCGACACAGATAATTGGTTTTTTCTATACATGATATCCCCGTGGTGACTCCGAGAAAACGTCAACTTAGGTCAGTCCCTTTATCGTGAGTTGTGTTCTTGTGATCCGGACGCAGCTCCTTGTACCCGGGAGGAGAGACTGGCAGATGGGCCTTGATATACTGTCTTGTCAGTGTGGAACCTGTCTTTTGACGTCGCCCAAATCGAATTCAAATCAGGATCTTGTGTTGACAAGTTGTTTGTTCATGTGTGGAACAATCATTTTTCAACAGTGATTGTTTGTCTGATGTTTAACGCTGCTTTCAGAAAGAGAAACCGAACTGTTCCAAGGAAGTCCAGCCATTTGGATGCGTGGTGCTTTGATCGAGGGAGGAATCTGTGGAGACCTGCAACATTAACTCCAGAAGTATCGGAATAAAGTTTTGCGACGCGTTGTGCTATCATTTATCCACCAACCACCCCGCGGTATAGTCGTCGAACTTGATAAAGCTAGACCCCTAACTGCAAGGCTGACACGGGGCAACCTCAACGAGATGAACGCCAATGTTTGCCATGTCCTGCATGCTCTGACATGAACTCCATCGACCATTTGCGGGGTCATCTTGGCATGCAAGTCAGAAGGCGACCAGTAACACCAGTCAACCGTCAGGACCTGGAGCGATGTTTCCTCGAACGGATTTCCGCTAACGTCATCAGGCGTTTGACGTCATTGACGCGGCGACGTGTTGTGGCCTGCGATGATGCACGGGATGGACATAGTCAATATTAAACCGGTGATTTGTGACTTTGAAGTGACTTACAAGTCTGTTGTTACATATTGTGTTTTGGCAATGTGAATTATCTCATTCTGTATGTTTTGTCATTATTACTAGTAAAGGTTTTTCTTTATTAGAGTGTGCACGTGATGCTAAACGCCACTCTCAATTAAATATGTTTTTCCTTCCAATATGTTTTCGCTTTGCTTCAATCATCTCTTGGTGTACTTTCTTGTGGACGTCAGTTTAGTTGTTATATAGCTGTGTACGGTTATATAGCTGTGAACAAACAAATCTTCATCATTGATCACTTTATGACTCAGGTTTAGGAAGATTAAAGATCGATGCATAAGACCAAGCAGTAAAATAATTTCAAAGTCAAGAGACTGGGATTGGCTTCACCTTTGCCAACAGGGCGCTCCAGGCATGAATCGCCCAATTCACTTTTGTTTTATATGTAATAGATAGGTATTACCGCTTTACTAACGTCAAGCTCGTGATCGTTATCACCAAGTGGTATTCTTAATGACCAGCCATAAATCCTGGCCCTAACGCGCACTTAAACTGCTCGAGGCGTGTCCAGCAACGCGTGTAGCTATATGACTGTCTGGTGCGGTAACGCTGGTAGGGAATATATGACCTTATAATTCCATCTGATGTTGGCGTGAACACATTACATACCTGATGCTGTTGGAGTCACAGGTATAAGTATAAGCTGCTAATTACAGGTGATAACAGGTGTTAAAAATGTCGAACGCTGACTACTCAAACTGGATGGGGAATCTACCTGAGCGTCTGACTAAAGTCCCCCTCGGCCACCTCGCAATACCAGGTTGGTTGATATTGATTATTCGTATTTGAGAAGTTTTCGTAATTGTATGATTAGCTTTTCAATGTTAACATTGAAGGGTTGAGCATAGCTACGCCCATCTACTGGCGTTTAACTCAGTGTGTTTTGTCTTTGTGTCAATAAGCTTTGTCTACATTGCCTATTGCTGAGTGACACACGAATATATCCTTAGTGATCGCATTGATCGGTATTGATTATTCTTTACCTGTATGGTTGACAAGATTCTCTAGCTAACATTAACCAGATGATTATTACTCTTATTTATGTGTGTGTATTCTATAGGCCCAATAGCATCACCATTATTATTATTATTATTGTTGTTCTTGTTCTTATTGTTATCGTATTCATGTAGGACTTCATGACAAATATACAGTGTAGCATCTTTCCGTGTACACGCGTTAGTTATTGAACTATGATGTTTATTTGTTTGTTGTTTAAATTCGCACTCAGAAATATTTCAGCTATATGAGGCGTTTTGTAAATAATTGAGTCTGGACCAGACAATCCAGTGATGGACAACATGAGCATCGATCCACACAATTAAGATTGTTGACATGCATCAACCAAGTCAGCGAGCCTGACCACCCGATCCCGTTAGTCGCCTCTTACGACAGGCATAGTCGCATTTTACGGCAAGCATTGGTTGCTGAAAACCTATATTCTACCTTTCGCGGGTATATTGAACTATGACAAAACCAAGTAACGAGGTGTGGCTTCGCAAATATGCTTTAGGTAGGACACAAACGCAATGTCCTCGCACAACTGAATATATGCGTGAGCACGGTATGTATGTCACAGAGCCCACTCTGAAAGTCGGAATGTGTTGTGAATGGTTTGTCTTTGCGTCATGAAATATACAAAGGCTGTATATGTTACAGTCAATGTGTAAAATGGCTGAAATGTTCAATTAGGCAACTTACAAAAAACGCCAAAATCTTTCAGTCATTTTACAATTGTATTTTCTGTTTATTATATTTTGATCACGAATTCCGAACATTTTAAGATATATTTCATCACCCAGTGACGGAAAATGATAGGATTAAAAGAAAACGAAAGTCATTGTATGATTGTTGTTGTTTTTTTATTTTGTATATGTATAATTATTCGACTGTGATGTTTTTAAGCCTTTTGGAACTTCTTAATACTTTTAGTCAATCTAACTGAATATAATGACTGAAATATTTTGGCGTTTTGTAAATTGCCTAACTGAAAATTTCAGTGATTTTACACATTGAGAGTAACATATACATGTTCACATGGCGCGACTTGCAACACTTAACTTGATGTGCTGAAACTGAGAAATTCAACGTCCACAATAGATAAGAGTGCTCAAGGCTTTCTGCACGGCACACGTATATCACTCGCTGTGAAAAGAATAAAAATAATTATAACATTGACAAATGACAGTGTGTATGCCAAATTACATCAATAAATGTATATTAAATTAGCTTGCAGTATGACTAAAACCTGTTATTTTCAATATTAGTCTGTTGCAACGAAATTCTTTGAAATTTATTTCAATAACTTTAAAAATTGTGTTTTAGATAAACACTTCCGTGTTCTGTCCATACCGCGGTATCTGTTGACAACACATGAGACTACATTCTTGTCACATACGTAGTTCAATTACGCATGCGCAGACCGATCCTGGATCATGTAACAGATTAGCCATCCCAACATCCATCATGTAAAGATACTTCCTAGACAATTAGTGGCTTTGAAGATGGTATTTCATATATGTGTGTGACGTAACGCTATCAAGGAAGAATTCGTCACCTCCCTAACTGTAAATTTTAATTGATCTTTGTATGTGAAAGGCTTTACGAAAGTTTGGACATATAAACTTGTGTGAATATTAAGGATGAATTTACAATGATGTGGTGTTTTTTTGTCAAATCCAAAGAAATATCTGCCAAAAGACGTGAGGTGTGAGATGTCGCGTTCAAGATTTATGCACTTATATAGCGACGAGCATGCTTGCGTGTGTGTGTGTGTGGGGGGGGGGGGGGGGGCTTCTTGTACTGGTCCGGACTAAGGCCGATTTTATAGTGCAGGCCTACTGAAATACCGTGCCGCAGTTTTAACATGAATTCCCCACTCAGACACAGTGTACTGAAGCCAAGCCGAACAGTCCTCGTTTTAGACCCTCAATGCCGAACGCCAGACAAGGTAACAACAAGTACCATCTTTTGGTATGATTTTGCGGGGAACATGTACCAGTGCTCCGTGCTACTATTCTGCTCAAATAGGTTTTGCACTAGTCTTTTGAACCACCTGAAGTCATAAAAAAAGTACATAAATTCTTCAAAAAAAGCTTTTAGTAAATTTATTGCACCTAATAAAGTCGATATATTTAATTGAATATCATAGATACAAATATGAAATTTTGGAGCTCGATAGTGACATGGAGTCGTTGTACAAGGGCATTGAAAACTGTTCGTTGTCATGTCAAATAAGGCCGCAAGTTTGCGCTGAACTCAGTATCTCGTGTGGCAGCAATCACGGGTCTGCATCTCCTCAGCGCTGACTGGATGAGTGCGGAATTCTGTATCATTCTGCTTGTAACGCGTTGGTCAGTTGTGGGAGTGTCTGTAGCGTGTTCTGACGTTGACATACACGTCGATCGAGTTCATCCCAGAGGTGTTAGATTGGGTTGAGATCTGGAGATCTCGACGGTCAGGGCAAGCCGTTGATGTTGGCATTATGAAGGTAGTCTGAAGGTAGACACGAGCTGTGTCCAGTTGAAACAGCTCCCTCTGGCGGTCAATGATTGAAAGAAGATGAGGTTGAAGAATTTGATTCATGTAGCGATTTGCTGTCAAATTTCCCTGAACCACAACCAAGTCAGATCTCGTGGTGTCGGAAATGGCCCCCATACCATGACACTTCCGCCACCGAATTTGTCGAATTCACGTACACAATGTGGGACAAAACGCTTATTTCGACGACGATAAACACGCTGTCTTCCATCTCGCCGGTGAAGAAGAAATCGTGATTCATCGCTAAACCACACTCGTCTCCAGTTTCTCAAATTCCAAGGCTGTAAGGTATGGCACCAACGCTAGCGTCACTGACGATGGGTCAGTTGCAAAACAGGAACGATAACTGATCTTCTGGGTCGGATTCCAGCTTAGCGAAGATGGTTCCTGACAGTCTAGTCCGGTATCCTCCACAAACCAGGGATGCGTTGTGCAGTCTGCGTAGCTGTGGCATTGCGATGACGTAGATGGAACAGTCGAATGTAGCGATCCTGTGCAGGGATGCATGGTAACTCTTGGTCGGCCGGTTCTCGGACGGTCGGCAGTGGTATTGAACTGTGTGTATCGGTCCCAAAGGCGGCAAATGATGCTGTGGTGGACGATGAATTGGCGTCCAACAGAAGATTGCGATTCTCCTCTTTGGATACGTCCTATGGCGATGTTCCGAGTCTCGGCATTTTCGAACTTGCGTGTGCATTTTGCTTTACTGTTTTCCTCCATAAGATTTTTTAACAAATGTGAAAATAATGCCGTTTAAGACATTGCAAATCGACAATGGCTGCGTTTTGACTCAGCGTTTGTCGAATATCAGGCCACCAACATTTTCCAATATCATATGACCCGTGAAGATCCGGGCTAGAATAGGTCTTCAGCAACCCATGCTTGCCGTAAAAGGCGACTATGCTTGTCGTAGGAGGCGACTAACGGGATCGGGCGGTCAGGCTCGCTGACTTGGTTGATGCATGTCATGATTGTCATCGATCCCAATTGCGTGGATCGATGTTCATGATGTCAATCACTGGATTGTCTGGTCCAGACTCGATTATTTACAGACCGCCATCATATAACTGGAATATTGCTGAGTGCGGCGTTAAACAACAAACCAAGCAACCAAATCCAATAACATATATCCAATTTATGTACCGGATTTTTTGTGTAGTAAGTTTACTCCCTGTGCGTTTCTTCTTCTTTTTGAAGAGTGTATATCCTATGTACTAATGGCGCTCGCTCGTCACGCCGAAGACCCGGGTTCGATTCCCGACATGGGTACAATGTGTGAAGCCCATTTCTGGTGTCCCCCGCCGTGATATTGCTGGAATATTGCTAAAAGCGGCGCAAAACCATACTCACTCACTCACTCACTCACTCACTCACTAAGTACTAATGTGTGGATTTCTGTGATGTAAACATGTAGTCACAAGTCAAACGAATTCCGTTCGACCAAGTACGATTTATTTGCAATTAGTCTCATTGTGAACGAACGCTTTTACCACTAGGCTACCCTACCATACGGATACATGAATAAAACCGATACAAATTGAATGTAGTATAATAAATGATTTATATTAAACTTTGGTTGTAATTTGAAAACATATTAAGCTATGTTTTTGAAAACGGTTGTCTCGGGTATGAAGTGTGTTGTTGTTTTTAACTTTACATTTTATAAGGCCTACTTAGATTAACATGTTTTTAGCATAATTTCATTGTAAGTTGCTACTTTATGAATTAATTTATAATGATAGTTTGATAAATGAAAAAGTCATTGATGAATTGGATATATTATATATAAGATAAATTAGTCGATTGCATGTAATTAATGAAAAATAATTGAATAAATAATCATTTAACCTAACGGACAGTATATACATAGATTACCGTACCATGGATAATGTGTATAACTGTCTGTCTGGGTGTCTATTTGAATCTTCTTTAATTCATTTATCTATCATTTATTATTCATAACGGTCATATTGATTCGACCTTGTCATCTCTACTGAAACCACAATCGACAGAAGAATATCATGGTCATTCTAACTTTTCATTTCTCGAGCAAAATTAATCTTACATCTTACAGCTACAATAGGGAAGAGGGTCCTATCGCTACATGTAAATAGCGATTCAGCTGCAAATAGCTTTTTTGCACTTCCCATAATTTTTATGATTTGCAGGTTATAACAGCAATCGATGTTAATGCGGGTTTCATAAATGTTTAGTTTCCATTTTTTTCTGTTCAAGGTTCTCACAATTCGTTCACGTCTACACTCGACCCATCGCTTGGTGTGGCGGTGGACCAATCAGAATCGATCCAGAACCTGGGTTCTTCTTGCTGCGGAGCTGTCACGAAAATCATCCAGCGATGGTCAACCAATCAAAGCATGGCAATGTTGGATCAGCTCACAGCAGGGATACGGTATTTCGACTTACGTGTGTGCAAGAAACCGGACACAGAACAATTCCACTTTTTACATGGGCTTTATGGCGACAATGTCAAATCCTTACTTGGTACCATTAAGACCTTTTTCGAAGACAACCCGAAAGAGGTCGCCATTTTAGACATGAATCATTTTTACAACATGGAACCATCAGACCATGACCGGTTGCTATGGGAGATAGAGGACATAGTTGGCGATCTTCTGGTTCCAGTGAATGGGTACCAATACAAACTATGGAGTCTCACTCTCGCCAACATCTGGAACCACCCCGGTCGGATTATACTAATTTATCACAACCCATTTAACGCAGCCACCTTTCCAAAGATCTGGAACAAGAATGTCATTCAGTCTCCCTGGCCCAATACATCAAGTAAGGAATCTTTGGTTGATTTCCTGGAGACAAATTACACCGAGAAAAAACGACCCCCCGGATATACTTTCTACGTGTGGCAAGGTTGCCTTACACCCGGCACAGGAACAATTGCTCTCCGTTTGTGTTGCTCTCTGGAGAATGCTCTAGCTCGCCCTGCCACGACTGCTTTTGTCAACTGGGTGAAGAATAAAGCCCCAGGTGAGTATAGGATCAACATCTGTCTTGTAGACTTTGTGGAAATGGCAGATTTTATTCCTGTAGTCATAGGGATTAACAGTCAAAGTTCGGGGTCATTTCGGGAACAGATGACAGAGGACATTTTTGCCAAGGAATATATGAGTGACCATCAACATACTAAATTGTGAATTCATGACTTGTGATTTATTAAAAAAATAGACTCCCCTGTTAAATGACCTAAAGTAAAGGTGACCACATTTGACATTTGACATGAACCAATATAATGAAAATGAACTGTGATGAGGCCAAGATTTTTATCATCTGGATGTAGTCATATGAACAAGTATTGTCGTGTCTCAAATGGTCAAGGATAAGAGCGATTTACAAGAGAGTTGTCATCGAACCTGAGACGTGGCACCTGTTAGAGTGACTGCTTAGTGACCATTTAAAAAGGAATTTGGAAGAATAATGAAATTCCATATCCGCTTTACAGGCATCAAAATGATGTATTCCAATCGATACCCCAGATGGCACCTTGCCTTGCCTTGGTCACATGGAAAAGGCCAGCCTCGAACCAGAAGGTCTGTAGTTCGAATCCCAGATCTTCAACTTTGTGGTCTCTTCGCAAATGATGTTCAAGTTTACGAATTTTAATTTGCAACAAAATTTACAAATGTTACAAGTTTGCATGGGTATTGTTTCTATATATTATATGTTTTATTCAATCTCGATACGAACCAGGCGTATAGCTCTGTTAAACACACCTTTTCAGCAGAATAGATTCAAAGGTGTAGATACTCACGGTTTCTTTGATCTAGTGGTATTGCCGAGCTGTATGATATGGTGAGAAGTCAGTGGTCAAGTTACATCATCACATACCTTCAGGTTACATTTGAATTTCAGCCTCAGGCATCAAACTATAACATATCCCAGAGATGACCATCGTCGTGTAATTATGACGTCTTTGACGTATATATGTTGAAATATCTACAGGGTTTCATAATAACGTCAGTGGGACATGACGTAAGCTGTGACTCAGTGATATAGTCGTTACTTCCATCGGCAATCCAGTGGTCATTCACTTGGAATGAGTTTAGGTTTAACGCGGCGCTGATGGCCAAAACGGCGCTGGTCATAGAATTTACGCAACGAGCATGGGCATGGTGCTGATAGGGAGCATTCAAACCAATGGTCAGCGGATCCTAGTAGAGCGAGCTGCGGCGTCTTAGACTACTGTGCCACGTGGGCCCCGCTCATCGTGAGACAGGGGTGGTGGGGTAGTCGAGTGGTTAAAGCGTTCGCTCTTCACACCGAAGACCCGGGTTCGATTCCCCACATGGGTACAATGTGTGAAGCCCATTTCTTTTGTCCCCCGCCGTGATATTGCTGGACTATTGCTAAAACCATACTCACTCACTCACTTATTGTGAGACAAATTGCACCCTGCCGTACATTTGATTGTTGATCGCTTAAGATTGAATAAGCGCCCGTACAATGTGTGTCTGTGTTGTGTTAGTTGAGCTCAACGATGTGTTGTGTATCTCACAGTGCCGAAACATTCACGAGTGTAGGTCTGAACAGCTTTTCTTAAAAGTGCAAACACTGATTTGACGTCACATTTTTACAACACAACATATTTATTTTGAGGTATTTATATGTCTACGTGTTCGTTTGTCTTCCATCATCATATTAAATATATGTGTTTTTGAAAATAAAGTAATGAAATAATTCTTGTCTGTGTAGTTACATATATAAAGGTCATTCATTGTGTCTCAACACGAACAACTGCTGTGTAAATTATGCGATGATATCTATTGCGATATTTCGGAAATCTTCTAAAACTGCGCACGCACGCACATACGAACGCACCGCATGCTTACTTTTATTTACTATTACTTGAAATGAAGCTTAAGACGCGTCAGTTAGGACGAATAGAATGCGATTGGAGATGGAGATTTATTCCAAGTAATTTGGGAACCTACAACATAATTTGGACCCGGACATCTAGTTTACAAATGTAAGACACAATTAGGAACACGACAGTCATCCTGTAAACAAGTGCAACAAAAATTGGATAAGAACATCCCTTGAACAGATGTAACACAATTTGGACCAGGACACCCTGTGAACAGATGTAACATGTTTTAGGTTTATATTTCGGTACTACGGACCGACCATTTGATATTCGAGGATGGGGTGAACAGTAAACATTTACAAATGTAAACAGATGTAACACAACTTTTGACCAGGACTCCATATGAACAGATGTAACACAATATGGATCAGGATTCCATATGAACAGATGTAACACAATATGGACCAGGACACCCCTTGAACAGATGTAACACAATATTGATCAGGACACCATATGAACAGATGTAACACAATTTAGATCAGAACACCATGTGAATAGATGTAACACAATTTGGACAGGACACCATGTGAACAGATGTTACACAATTTGGACCAGGACACCCCTTGAACAGATGTAACACAATATTGATCAGGACACCATATGAACAGATGTAACACAATTTAGATCAGAACACCATGTGAATAGATATAACACAATTTGGACAGGACACCATGTGAACAGATGTAACACAATTTGGACCAGGACAGCATGTGAACAGATTCAACACAATTTAGATCAGAACACCATGTGAACAGATGCAACACAATTTAGACCAGGTCACCCCTTGAACAGATGTAACACAATTCGGATCAGGACACCCCTTGAACACATGTAACACAATTTGGACCAGGACAGCATGTGAACAGATGCAACACAATTTAGATCAGAACACCATGTGAACAGATGTAATACAATGTGGATCCAGGACAGCATGTGAACAGATGTTACACAATTTGGATCAGGACACCCCTTGAACAGATGTAACACAATTTGGACCAGGACAGCACGTGAACAGATGCAACACAATTTAGATCAGAACACCATGTGAACAGATGTAACACAATGTGGATCAGGATACCATGTGAACAGATGTTACACAATTTGGACCAGGACACCCCTTGAACAGATGTAACACAATTAGGATCAGGACACCCCTTGAACAGATGTTACACAATTTGGATCAGGACACCCCTTGAACAGATGTAACATAATTTGTATCAGGACACCCTGTAAACAGATGTAACATAATTTGTATCAGGACACCCTGTAAACAGATGTAACATAATTTGTATCAGGACACCCTGTAAACAGATGTAACATAATTTGTATCAGGACACCCTGTAAACAGATGTAACACATGTCAATTTGGATCAGGACACCCTGTAAACTGATGTAACATAATTTAGATCAGGACGCCCATTGAACAGATATAACACAATTAGGACCAGGGCACCATGTGAACAGATGTAACACAATTAGGATCAGGACACCATGTGAACAGATATAACACAATTTGGATCAAGACTTCATGTGAACATATGTGACACAATTGCGACAGGACACCCTGGGAACAGACACAACACAATTTGGATCAGGACACCCCTTGAACAGATGTTACACAATTTGGATCAGGACACCCCTTGAACAGATGTAACACATGTCAATTTGGATCAGGACACCCTGTAAACTGATGTGTCATAATTTAGATGAGGACGCCCATTGAACAGATATAACACAATTAGGACCAGGGCACCCTGTGAACAGATGTAACAAGGTTTGGAAGTTTTAGATTAATTTATATTTCGTTACTACGGACCGACCATTTGATATTCGAGGGTGGGGGTGGGGTAGAGAGACTGGAATTCTATCCAAAACACATGTCCCAGAAAATGCTCGAAAAATTGAATGGGCTTCTGACTGTTGAAAAAACTGCAAGCCACAAAAAATACATTGTTGCAAATACATTTTTAAAATGATATTTAGGCTCATAGCAATTAAATAAAATCAGGTTTTGAAGATATGGCTGTAGAAATAGCTGGTCTCAATAGAAAATCCTAGAGATCGAAGATGAAAGTCATGTCGTATGTCGTATTTTAAATGTGTCCTAAATTACGAAATAATTAACTCTAAAGCTGTCCTGGATTTTAAGTTTTACCCATCACAAACTCAGCATGTGAAAACGTTCTTGTTCTTGTTCTTCTGTGTTATAGGCCTGTGACCGACTGAGCTGAATAAATCCTGTCGCTCTGTTGTTGAATTATTGTGCACATGCATTAAGGTTAGATTGAGACAAACTTCAAGAATAGATTTATGGTTATTGAATTGAGATACTAAACTTGATAATAGAGGACGTCGTGTACCAGCTCGTGGGGTTTTAAATAGGTTGTGTAAAAAGGATTACTCTACAACATGTATACTATTTAAAACAAGAAACGCAAAAAGTGGTATTTTTGGCCATAAAAGCAAAATTAGCGGACCAAGAGGTGCAAAATGGAGAGGTTTAATGTGTTAGAGTGTCAATGACAAATTTCCTGGATCAAAATGATCACAACAAGGACATGCAAAGCATTAGTCTGGAAACCCGTACGATTCGGAAAAACGCACCCAGTGCATTAACAAAGGGGCCATGGAGCTGCACGCACTGAACGTGCTGCGGCACTATGATCGGTATTAAAGTGCAGGGTTTTTTATTCCCTGGCATCTGCGTCAATCAGACAGTGACACACACACACACACACACACACACACACCACCGTTACGCGTTACGCGGTTTTTCTTTGATGATATGTGCGTGTTATGTTAACACACGAGGTTGTTACAAGCACGCAATTAATGGTGTTTTTGTGTTTTAGGATGGTGTTCAGGACACATTCTAACAGTAGAAACATATAACAGATTTATGATACATTTTTGTGTCGTTTATTCCACACATTATATTCCACACAATATATTGTATCAAAAACAGCGACATGATCACTTTAAATAATTCAATAATATCTGCCCCCAATGTACTTAGTCTATTGATATAATTGATATAACACATTTAAGACTTATTTGACTGTTTTTCAAGTAAATAACAATCGGCATTAGTCCATACTACTACAAGCTGCCAGACACACGTGTATGCACGTCGCAATATAAGCACAATAATCATTAATTTCACCCCCACCTGACCTTGGGCATATTAACCATGTTTTAATCAGTTCGCATACTGATGGCGAAACGCCCGTAAAATCCTCTGAAGTAGCTCAAACAGGTTATTTCTCATGGCCGAGTGTGTATCTGTACAGCTCCCGTACAGTTCTCGTTTAGTTTTCCTGTACAGTCCCGCTGGGGACAAGGGAAACACAATGCACTTAGTGCACATGAGATACTTTGCTACGACTTGCTATGCCGTGCATACAGGTATCCCGTGTTTACGAGACATTGACTTGTGTTCGCAAGATCTTTTACAGCCCGTGTCCCTCACGGGGCTCCTTCCAATGTATGACAATTCGTAAAGTTTCTAAAAATGTCCTACCTAATGATTATCGAATTTGTTTATTGTCTTTCTTTCTTTGTTTAACGCCGCACTTAGCAATATTCCATCTATATGATAGGGGTATCTAAATAATCAAGTGTGGACCAGACATATAGTGACTGACATCATGAGCATCGACCTACGTAATTGGGATACGATGACAGGTATCAATCAAGTCAACGAGAATTACCATCCGATCCTGTCAGTCGCCTCAAGATTAGTTCTATCCCGGGTGTTATGGATACTGACAAAAATGACCTTGACTCTTGTAATATCGCGAAGTCGGGGATTTAAGCCAGTGTGAAAGTACATGGAAAAAGCAAGAAATAATACATTGTAGTCACTACATCTATTAAATGATATTTTCACGACTCCAAATGTGGCTCAACCTAAGTGAGTGAGTGTGGTTTTACGCCGCTTTAAGCAATATTCCAGCAATGTCGCTCCTGCAGACACCAGAAATGGGATTCAAACGTTGTACCCATGTGGGTAATCGAACCAGGGCCTTCGGCGTGACGAGCAAACGCTTTAACCACTCGGCTACCCACCGCCCCGTCTCAACCTGAAACATTTGTCTATACTTATGCATGAAAAAAGAGCAATATGTGTTAAAATCACCCATAAATGTTTCACATCACAAAACATCTCTGATTAATGTTGACCTGATATCCGCCTCAACGCGTATGGATATCTCTACCTGTATTTGCTTTGTCACGCCTATCTCATAAGATAAAGTCATGTAGACTAACATGTGTGTATATATATATATACATTAAAATTTTGAATATAGAATCATTGTATTGTATATACTAATAATAGTGTCTCCTCGGCCTGCCCAGGCCTTGCATAAAAAAGTATGATTTATTTTATCTATATGGCTATTAGTCTGTATTTTATGCGTGACACTCAAATAAACAATTCATTCACTAACAATCTCTGATGATATACCACACGGGCTCTTCGTCCGGGTGTTCCGGCATTATCAAGAAAATCCGTCTCCAATTCTGCAAACGGCCCCACATAAAGCGTTCATGCCTGAACACCAGGGTGTGTTTTTGTGCTGGTGACATGCATGTTTAAGTCTCATAGTCAACTGTATGAAAAATTCTGAAATGTATAAAAACGACATAATAGAAATTTAACTGTATCAGACATAAGAAACTCTAAGCTCCAATTAAGGGCAGTGCGTATGTTTCTTTGTTTAGTGTTTGTGTTAATGTTTGTGGGTTATTTCTTGCATGCTTCATGGGCATAGG